TCTCTTGTCTTCTTAACTCCTTAAGAACAGCCTTTCTTCTTCATTTTTCTGCCCCATAACCGAAATTAGAGAGAGAGAGAAAGACAAAGAGAGTTCATCTTGTTCTTCTCCAAATCTTGAAAAGTTTCTTCTATTCGCGCAAATCTACTCCGATTAAGTTGTTATCTAGCACAAAGGCTACCTACCGGTGTAATTTTCTTGAAGAACAAAGGCCTTGAACACTTGTTTCTAGTTTCCTTGGAAAGGTATACATGCTAGAACCTTGATTCTCCGATTAAATGCGTGATTAGTTGCTAAATATGTCACATATGGTTGAATTATTGATGTATGTGGTGAAATAGAGGCTTGGATCATGTTTTTCCATTTTATTGGAATTTTTACAGTTTCCCTATGATTCTTCTAGTGCTTACAATTTGGGGCTTTGATGTTTAAAGTTTAATATGGGAAGTTAAGATGGTGAAGCAAGCCAAAAATAAAGAAATTAGCATTTGATTTCAAGAATTTCCAGATTTCAGGAACTTGAAAATTCAGTTCTGCCCGTTTCTGTATCACCTAGTTAGAGGCCGAATTTGGCTTGGCATAAAACATGAAAGTTGTAGAGAATGATGTTTTCTAGTTGCCTATAAATTTTCAGCTCAATCTGAGCTCGGTAGCCTATGAAAAGACCGAAATACCCCTGCTACCCTGTTTCTATCCGAGAATAGTATTCAGCTTTGGTAATTGGGTAGTTTGACTGGGAATACTACCGATTTGGTTGTTGATGTCTTCTTAAGAATTATAGTCTTGTATCTTAGCTTTCAAATGGCTTTGGAATCACTTGAATTGGAGTTGTATATGCTGAGATACGTCGGAAATACCTAGACTGGTCCAGGAAAGGGTTCTGCGAACAGGGTTGCCTTTTTACCCAGTTTGACTGTGACTTTTCACCATGATCCTTACTGAATTCGATTTGGTCCAAAACATGAAAGTTGTAACCAATGGTATAAACTACTTTCCTGCAAAATTTCAGCTTGATCCGATCACTGTAGCATGTGAAATGACCGAAATAACCTTGACTGTCTATGAAACCTGTTTCGCACCCAGAATTCAGTTTTCGTGTAGTTTTCCATTTTTGATCATGAAAATACATGATTTGGCCTTGGAGGTCTTCATAAGAAATGTACCCTGGACTCTTAGCTTTCGGATGGCTTTGGAATCACTTGATTTGGACTTAGGTAGCCTGAATTATAGTTCGTTAACCAGAATGTGGTTTGTCCACCTGTTTCTGCGGTTCTGGTCTAGTATCTTGCATTTTTGACCTAGTTGTGCTATGAACTGGACTGAGTAACCTTCTGCAATATTGTAGCCCTATCTCTTAGCTTCGGAACGGTGTATCTTATACCTCCATCCGATAATCGTAGTGCCAATGGTGCCAAAACCGCTAAATGATATCAAATCTGTTTTTGGGTTTAGGACTTGGATTCGGACAAGATAATGGTATATGACGGATGGGTTCTGAGCCGTGGAGGTGAGTGACCTCAAACTACTTCTAAAGTTATTTATGAACCGTTTCTTACATTATTTACTTTTGAACTGTTTCCAAAGTTACTTTTGAAATGTTTTCTTGCATATCATGTGTGCTGGCATTTGAGTGTGCCTTGTTTGCTATATTTCTTGACTTCATGACTTGTATTTTGGTTGATAACGTGTTAAGCGCTTATAATGATTTTCAAAACGAGTTTTCGAGGCGAGTGTGTACTTTATCGCACTCGACCTCGATAAATGTGAAATTTTCGATTGAAATGTTACTTGCGCATGAATGTAAGCCTTTTGGGCTGAACTGGCCATTGCCCCTTGTTACCGGTCGTCTTGAGCCAGAAGCGGATTCGGTCAGGCGATTAGGAACTTGGGTGAACGTTTGGTATACTCGAGTATTACCTATGTAGGTTGGTGGAGCCTGGCCAAAAGCCAGGGACGGGGTGAATGAAATGAAATGAATGACCAAATGAGCGAGGAAATGTCAGGAGAATGAATGTATCCTTTCATGAATGTTACTATCGCTTTTCATTGTAAATGTTTCTTGAATTATTGATAATCCATATTTACTGTTTTGCAAATGATGTAGTTGTTTCCGGATTTATCATTTAACTTATGACATCATTGAAATGAACTATTGTGAAACCGATTTGATTAATGATTTTCTGGTTACTCGCTGAGCTTTTAACTCACCCCAAAAACTATTTTATTCCCCTCCACAGGGCTCGTGGCGAAGGAAGGACTTGTAGTACTTGTTCACGTGACTGGATGGCATATATCTTGTATAATTTGGACTTGGAATCATTTTATGTATAATTGAGAATTGTTTCCGCTTCGCTTATGACATGTAAATATTGGAGATTTATATTGTAATATTTGAGATTTATTCTTGTAATTCATTTGAGAATTGTAGTGAACGACTGAGTTCCGGCGAGAGCTGGGCAGGCGACCCGCCGAACCCTGGGGTACGCCCTAGGGAGAGGTGGGGCCGTCACAGCTGCCCTCGCAGTCTCCGCCGCCCCTTGTGGCCACTACTGCCAGTTCTTCCAAGAACTCTGGGATTCTTCCTCTCCAAATCCTCATCACCTCCGACCACCCAAATCAAAACTTTTCAAAATCTCCCCTCCCCTTTAAGTCATTGCCGGAATTCTTAACCAACCCATTTGGCCCCTGTGATCTGTTGGATAAAGAATCTCCCCTCCTTCTCAAACCCTATAGCAATGGGCTATCTTTTGATACTTCCCGAAAACACGCAAAAAGAGATTCAAGTTTTGGACGACTCCTAGAATCCGGAGATATGGAACGCTTTGCCGTGTACCGAAATTGGCAATTTGGGTCAGATAACCCACGTAAGTGTCCTCACTAAAGGCACGTCCCTCCGGGTAGAAAATAAAGCTCCAGATCTGATGTCTTTTTTCAAGGACAACTTGCGGGGAATACCCGTTTGCCACAAGTGCGGCCTTTATGTGCCTTTCGATTGCCAGTTGACTCCAAACGAAGGAGTCGAGTTTTTGCACGTTATAAGACATTCCCCGCCAATTCGTCCCCAATCGATCAGCGAGCTCTGCTCGCCAGGTGTTCTCATCGAGCAGCGGAAGCTCCAGTTCATTCTAGATCTGGTCTTGTGTTATTTCTTGATTTGCCCCATAGCCGGAGGAACCTTCACCGCCAACCCCTACCCCTCCACCAGAGAATGACATTGTCCCGGTCCTGACAATATCACGTAGATGTAGGCATGGCCATGGTTCCATTTGGAACCGGGAACCGGACCGGAACCGGACCGTTTGGAACCGGACCAGAACCGGAACCAGAACCGTGGAACCAGAACCGTAGTAGAACCTTGGATAAAGGTTCCGGTTCTGGTTCTCTAAAAAATAGAACCAGAACCAGAACCGCCGGTTCCAGAACAGTTAAAAAAATTAAAAATAATTAATATAAAAAATAATAAAAGTAGAGACATCATGATGATCATCATGATCCACCACAACCTTTTGACCAAGCTCTCAACGGATCCAAGAGGAAAAAATTGCAAAGAAGGGCTCCAAAGAAAAAGCTTGTATTCGAAGAAAAAAAGGGAGCTTCTTCAATTTTTGCTCTCGGGGGCTCTCAACGGAAGAAAGAAACAACCATACGGAACCGGAACCGGAACCGGAACCATAAGGAATCGAAATCAGAACTATGCGGTTCTGGTTCTACCTCTTTGAAGAACCAGAACCGCCGGTTCTAGAACCAGAACCAGAACCATCTTATATGGTGCGGTTCTGGTTCTACCTCTTTGAAGAACCAGAACCGGCGGTTCTGGAACCAGAACCGGCGGTTCTGGAACCAGAACCGGCGGTTCTGGAACCGTGGCCATGCCTACGTAGATGCGTATTGGTCGGTACAATGACCCGATTCTCCACTTCCATTGCTGGTAAGTGGTTGAATCCTTCCACATTGAGGGATGTACTTTCTGGAACTTGCGGTAGCGTTTCGTGCGCTGCGTTTAAAAAAGGCTCTATGGCTGCAATGGCATCTCCATTGGAAGGTTTGGATGAGAATAGTGTTTTAGCGGCTAATTTTGATAGGACTGGTGTCCGGAGTAGGGGAGAATTGGGCAGTCGAAGGAATAGCTATGACTCTGTTAGTGGGGAGATTCCTGAGAGCGGTGGTATCACTCTCCTGCAGAGAATGAGGAGAGAGAAAGCGGCGGCAACGAGGGTTTTGCAGAAATGGAGGAAAGAAGGAGAAGTTGTTCTCTTTTTGTTTAGAAGATGCGGACAAAAATACCCTTTGAAAAAACACACTGGCATTCGTGTGAATTGGCATTCCGGTTGCAAAACCGGAGAAACTGACTAAAAGGGTCATGGGTGTCCAATTTTACAAGTTCGAGGGCTTAAAGTCAGCAAAAAATAGATGAGGGACTTATTTTTATCTAGACAAAGAGTTTAAGGGCCAATTGAATAATTTGCCCTAACTTTAATCTTTAAGCTTAAAGCCTTGGCTCATGCAAAGCCAAATAAAAATAGTAGTGGAACATTTATCTTGGTTTAGTTTTACAAATCCTTGTTATAGATTGAAAAGATTTGCACGTACATTTTTTTGGGGTAATGTCCTTAATTTTTCTTATCAACTTAAAGAATGAGGTATTGAACAACTTTTGTTTCCCTCTATGAGAAAAGCAGGGGAGATGCTTTTTTTTTTTTTTTCTTTTTGTTGGTAATTTTCTGTCTATTGTCACCAACAAGTTAAGAAAAAAATTATTTCCTTAAATTTTATCATTTAGATTAATTGTACTATTATGTTCTTTGAATATTGTGTAGTAATTACCCTTTATGGTACTTTATTGTTATTCCCTCGGTGTGATAAAACAACTTTTTGAGTCTTAAAATGTTGGTACATTTTGGGTCATTTTTAACTCTTTCTTAAAAATCAAAACCTTTTTGTGGGAAATTATCGGAGCACCATATTATCTGCCAAAGAGGATTAGCTTAAAAAAAAAAAAAAAACAGATACTACCAGGCCAAAGAAAACTTTCCAAAAAGCACGAGACGTGGGAGAAGGTAATTGGGCTAAGTTGGAGGAAGTTGATGGAGCGTTAACATCACTCAGCCCTCTGCAGGTTGGTGTTTCACATTGGGAGTTCAAACTGAGATCTCCCAGCTGAGGGAAAACAGTACAAACAATCAAAGTTCTATCTGATTCTCCATCAAATTTCCTTGCACACATGGATCGAGTTCTTAAAGATGCAAGAATTTCAGGTTCTCTCAACCTTTCCAACCGTTCTCTCAGGTCTGTTACCATCGCCATTTTTATCAGATATTTCTTTACATTTCTTGTTCCAAGAATTATTGTTGTCCAGTTTGTTTTTTTTCTTTCATTTTAATACCCTTTTTATCCAGCTAAATAAACTCGATAGTTTGTGGCTGAGAGGCTTTTCATTGAGAAAAATCTTTTTGTTTGTTTTGTCCATCAAGCTGCAAGCTTTGTAGTTGGCTTTTGGTTCTTCTGGCATATCATGGTTGTCTGAAAGTGCAGAGAAAAAGCTTTGGAGCTTTGATTTTCTTAAAAATTTGAATTTTGTGGCAGCGAGGTGCCCAATGAGGTGTACAAAAGCTTGGATGCGATTGGCGAGGGAGAAAAGTGGTGGGAGGTATGGTCCATTGCTATTTTGTTGCTATTCTGAATCATTTCTTTGAGTTATTAATGGTTAATTGGAAACATAAAGCTGCTATATGATATTTGCCTTTTTAGGCTGTAGAGCTACAGAAGTTGATTTTGGCTCATAATGAAATCGAATTGTTGAAAGAAGAACTTAGAAATTTGCCTTTGTTGTCTGTGCTGAATGTCAGCCACAATAAGCTTACCAGTCTTCCAGCATCTATTGGAGAGTATGTTCTATAATCCCTTGAACTAGTCAGACTCTTCGGTATTCTTTTTTTGGCTATGGATGAAAGGTTTGAGCAATGCTTCATTACCTCTACTTTATTTAACAGGTTGCACATTTTGAAATCTTTGGATGTATCATTTAATTTGATAGAAAATATTCCAGAAGAAATTGGGTCGGCAGCAGCTTTGGTCAAGTAGGCCTCTTTCGCATTTTCCTATTGTTAACGTTGAACACTTGGAATGTTGATGAGGGAATTAACCTGCTTGCAAATTCCACATTTTAGTTGGCATCCAGAAAATTTTTTGTTTTTTCTAATAAACCTACTAATATTAACTTCAGTTTTGTGCTTTGAAATGCTCTCGTTCTGCATCTTGCGCTCAGGTTTGATTGTTCGAATAACTGGCTAAAGGATCTTCCGAGTTCCCTTGGACAATGTGTAGCTCTATCAGAACTTAAGGTAGAGCCTTACAGTATCTACATTATGTATTAAAAATGCAACAGCTTTACATCACATAGCATGGCTTGGAAACTGATGGCTGAAGCTTGTGAATTTCAAGTACTTTAATCTTGTCCTGAGGATGTGATGTTCTCTCAATCATATGTTAGCGATGTAATCATGTAAGCACCTTGACGCAAGCTGGGCAAAGGGAGAATATTATGCTAGCTCCTACAAAATGTAAATACTAACTTGTAGCTTTGCTCTATAAGAGTGATTCAATTGAAATTTTCCTCAGGCATCAAACAACAGCATTTCCAGTTTGCCTGACGAATTAGCAAATTGTTCGAAATTAATAAAGTTGGATGTAGAGGTATTCAATGTTGAGATACTGTTTAATACTTTATAACAGCTTTTAAAACTTTATTTTGGACCTTTTTGTGGGCTTTAATCATCTCATTCATCATTTCTGCAGGGAAATAAGCTAATAATGCTACCAAAGGAGATGATTGCATCATGCACAATGCTTAGTGAGATCAATGCATGTAAATGTTCAATGCCTTTTCTCAAGGAGTTTGCTATTTAACATGGATACTCTATAAATTTGAATCCACTTCATTAACTTTTTACCATTTACAGCAAAAAATATGTTGAGTGCCATGCCAGACAATATTGGAAGTCTTTCACGCTTGATTCGCCTTGACCTCCATCAGAACAGTGAGTGCGATGAGTTCAACCATCATGTCTCAATTTAGCCACTTAGAATTCGTTGCAGAATTTTTAGTACTAATTTCCGTAACATTTGTATTTAACAGCAGCCTATCCATATGATTTTGTACAGGAATTTCATCAATCCCATCATCAATAAACGGTTGCTTGTCATTATTGGAGTTCTATATGGGGTCCTTTCTCGATCATTGTTTCATTAATCTTTTGCACATTATTGAAATTTCGTAGTTGTTGAGCAATTTTTTGTTTCAGTGTTGACCATGCTTTAAGTGTTTTAATTAACAGGAACAATGATCTCTCTTCATTGCCAGCTGAGATAGGGGCCCTCACCAAATTAGGGACATTTGATCTCCATTCAAATAAGGTGGGTATATGAGCCTGGTGAGCTGTTCAAGCTCGCCATGAAAACTTACAGATTTACAAATTTGTTCTAACTTTTGAGTGATAAGAAGCTACCTGGATATATCCTTTTTGACATGATGTGAGATTGTTTTGTATTTCATTGTATCCATATTTTCTTTCTAAAGCCAAAGATCAATTCTTTCCATCCAATGCTTTTGAAAGGTCATTTATTTACTTCAATTTGCATGCAGTTGAAGGAGTATCCGGTGGAGGCTTGCACCTTGCAGCTTTCGTTTCTAGACCTATCAAATAATTCATTGTCTGGTTTGCCTCCTGAGATTGGTAAGGTCAGCATTCTCTTTTTAATGTATCCGATCAGGCTTATTGTTCAACTTAGAAAGCATTTTTACAAGGAAGCTCAATTTTATAAATCCCTCACCTGATTGTATTTTAGTTCTCAAAAGAATTAATGTGGATTCTTCCCATAAGTAATGAACAGTTTTTGGGTGCATTGCCACATAGGTTATTGAGCAAAATATTTGAATGGCATGTTACCATTAAGTGATGCATTCTGTGTGCTTTTATATGGTATGCATGTATATGCACTTGAACATGTAGCAAAGACATATACTCTGGTCATGGTGAATTCACTTTTCTTCTAATGCAATTCATTGGGATTTATCACCGTAGCAGGAGCTGTGTTCCATTTGTTGCTTGTGGTAACTTCTTGTTTGTTGTAATGAGAGCAAACTTCTTGATCATCTTGTACACCCAAGGGGCTCAAACTAGATGCAAACTTCCTTCCTTGAAATGTCTTGATCATTTAGGGTAGTTAGTACAACTTAAAGCAAACCTTTTAATTGGCTTAAGTGAAGATAACTACTTTGAGAAGTAAGGTAGATACCAGAATATGACTCTACTTTTAAGTCTCTTTTTGTTATTTAAGTTTTTTTTACATTGTGCTTATTTTGATTCTTATACTTAATGTATTGTTCATGACAGCGATTGCTTTTCCTTCACATTATATCTAATATATTCTAGAATGTTGTTATTTAGGTTTGATGACTACTTTACGGAAACTTTTACTGAATGGTAATCCGCTGCGAACTCTTCGCAGGTTTGAATTAGTACCTTGCTAGTAGTTGAAGTAAGTCAACATTTCTCCTCTTGTAGTGTCTGTAAATCTAATTTTTCATCCTTATTCAGCTCATTGGTAAATGGACCTACTGCTGCCCTATTGAAGTTCTTACGAAGTAGACTTCCAACTGATGAAGGTAGTATGATTTCTAATGTTTGTCTTAGAACCATTATTTTTTGGTGGGTATTGTGATTCTTTAACTTTCGTCTTAATATTTGGTTCAGCATTCCAGATGACGAAGTTAATAGCATGAGGTTTATATACGTGTAGTATAATTTTTCCTTGTAACCTTTTTGTATTGACATGATAAAATTTCGCTCAGGGTCTGCAGCTACTGCAACAGCAAAAGAGGATGTAATTACTATGGCAGCTCGGATGTCTTTTTCTTCGAAGGTAAATATAGCTCATGTTTCTGAAACCAATTTGATTGTTTGCCCACATTTTGTCCCTTAGTGATCCCTATGTTTAGATTGTTGGTGCGAGAGATTTGGGGTCCTTTGCTCCACTGGGACAAATTGTCACTTTTATAAAATTTTGAGGGTAGACTTAGTAAAATGTCTAAAACAGAAGCACATCCTGATGCTCACAATTTGACTTGTTCTTTACCACTTGAGGTATAAAAAATTTAGCTAGGATAAACAGAGCCTTCATGAAGCATTTCCGGATTATAAGCATTTGATACTCAGAACTAGTGATCAGACAAGTTCTACATTATTTTGGTGCAGTATCTTCTTAATTTTGCTTCAATCTACCGCTTTCCGCCTCCATACTCCACAGACTTATCTAAGTCTACGCTTCTGTAACTATTTGGTGCCACCTTGGGTTTCTCAGTCATCGCATTAGATATCTAATTGCTCTTTGAAATTAGTCTTTTGATACCTCAGGGGAACAGTGCCATGCTTTAGATTTATTCAAAAGATGCTTTATATGTTCTATCTGTTGTTGCCATTTTATCCTAATACTAGGTTGTAAAAGCTGTAATTTACACCACAGTAGTAAAAATGATATTGAATCTTATTAAAAACTGTTAAAAATGAACTTTCAGTTCTATTGATCTGCAAGTGGATTTGCTGGTTATCAACTTAATGTCTAAGGGTATACCTGGCTTTCTTTTTGAGTTATAAAATCTCTTGCTCATGCCTTTGGATGAATCAATCATGATATGCTTGCGTGATGAGAAATTATTTAACAGAAAATATTAAATATTGTAAAAATCAATTGATATTGAACCCTCCACAATGCAATATAAACATTATTATACTATTTTGATCACCCACTTTTTTGACATTTATGGGATCTATGTGTTAAGTGAACATGTCTTCTGTTTACTACCCAAACTTTTCAGGAAATTTCTTTGGAGGGGCTGGGTTTAAATGTCGTCCCATCAGAAGCATGGAAGTCAAGTGACATCATCAAAGTTAATTTGTCAAAGAATGCAATTGAAGAACTACCTGTTGAATTTTCCTCTTGCATTTCGCTTGAAGTAAGTTTTGCCATCTACTTTTGGTTTCCTCTCTTTGTAGAGCAGTTGAATAGAGCAAAAGAAGTAAAAGTGGCCTCATTAAGCTACAAGGACATGCATCTATATAGAGCTATTGTTGTTGAAACTCGGGTTGTGGGCCTTGTAGCCCAAAACCTTACAAGTCTGGATACATAGTCATGATATATGAAATCTATAAAATCGTCCATGCACCTGCAGGGTGGCTAAGGTTTTGTTTTTGGCTAGTAGACTTGTGCTTCTTGGAATGTATATGAAAAAGCTTGTTGTTCTTCTTCTTCCTTTTTTTTTTGTCCTGGTCAATGATGGATACTTATTAAAATGTTATGATAATTTTTCACATATTAGCGTTCAACTTATTTGTTTAAACTAAACATCCATCAAGTCCTGCTTGTTTTAGTCATAATTGCAGTTCATAGCATTAGAGCACCTAATGCATTAATTAGAGCACATAGTAATTTTGTATATGGTGCAAAATGCAGGCTTTGATTCTATCTAAGAACAAGATAAAAGAGTGGCCTGGTGGAATCTTAAAATCCCTTCCGAAATTCTCATGCTTAAAGCTGGACAACAATCCTCTTAGACAGGTAAAAAGTCTTAATCTTTATCTTTTTTTTTGGCACTGCAAATGAATTAGACAAAGTCCTTCCTTTTGCCAGTTAACAAACATTGGGACCTTGTTGAGAGAGCGAGACAGATGTACGTTGATGATGACAATATTGAAATTTGTGTAATTTAAAAGAATCTTCATTAGCACCAAAAGACATGTATCTCACCTTCTGACTTATTATCATCTGCAAGTTCCTTCTTGAATAAGTAAGGCCAGAGCTTCATTTTTTTTCAAGCTTTGTTCTATGCATGGACTATCACAACCCAAACTATGCCACTTCTCTCTATCATTTCATTCCAAGTCCACTTTTTCTTGGTAAACAGATTGCATCAAATGCCTTTCAAACTACTCCAAAACTCCATATACTGGATCTGAGTGGCAATGCTGGTTGTTTGCCAGAACATCCGGAATTTTCTAGCATGCCAGAGTTGCAGGAGCTTTATCTGAGGTTTGTGTTTTGCAACTTTTGCTTATGTTGTCATCTGACAGCCCTGTCCAAAACTTTTGTTCTTGGCTCACATTTCAAATCTAATCACAGAAGAATGCAGATATCCGTCTTCCCAGCAGAGATTATGAGCTTGAAGCAGCTGCGAACTCTTGATTTGAGCCAAAATTCTCTTCAACACATTCCGCAGGTTTTTTTTTTTTTTTTTGGGGCATAGAGAACTAGTGTGCCTTTAGTGTTCTGCTTGAATCTCTGTAATGCTAGTATTTTGCTTGCAGGGTATAAAAGATATGACTAGTCTTACAGAGCTCGACCTTTCAGACAATAACATTTCTGCACTTCCACCAGAACTGGTTAGTACAAAGCTCTTTTTGTTCTGAAACCTTCGTAAGTAGCCTGTTGACGATGTCCACGTGGATTCACTGTGACTCTTTCTGAAGTTTTTTAAGGCTTCATCTTTTTCCCCTATAGCACAGAGACACCACACATTTACATAGATGGTGAGACGAAAGCTTTTCTAATTTCATTTATTGCTCAAGTTGCAGAGCATATCATAGCTTTTTTACTACTAGTTGCGAATGTGTAAATCATGGACACATCCGGTATTTATTTTATATGGCCTGACATTTCAACTTCATATTGGTGATTTAGCCTTTCTGTGATTGGAAAAGATCAATGCAATTGAAAATGCTGCATGATTTATTGAAAGTTCAATCATCAACAGTACACAGGGATATCTTTCTGTGATTCTCAATTCATTTGTACAGAATTTGTTGTTGTAGCTTGCATTTAGCATAGCGAGTCAGTGGCAATGATATCCTTACGATTTTGTCCTGCAGGGATTGCTTGAACCCAGCCTACAGGTATTAAAACTCGACGGAAACCCATTAAGAAGGTAGGCGAGTGCTATATTTCTGTGTTTTATTGAGTTGACTTCATTCTTAACAGACTTTAAAACAAGAATCATGCTTCAGAATGTAAAAATATTGGTGCAAGCAACAATGCTTCTACTATGATTTATATACACACTTTTTCAGCATCCGAAGGACAATTTTGGATCGAGGAACAAAAGCTATTCTGAAGTACCTAAAGGAAAGAGTCGCCGAGGACTAATTTCTCTGCACCCGTAGCCATTATGGCTACTTCTTGTGCCAGCATGGGCTCGGCGGAAACAGATATTTGCTCCTGCGACTTCCAAAAATTGTTGTTATAAAGTTTGATATTACAAATTACTCGAGCCTACCCCCTTTTTCTTTCAAATTCGGTAATGGTATAATTTGCTTGCGAGAAAATCCAGTCACGAGCCTGAGTTGCACTCCATCTTTTGCCAAGCAAAGTTTCTCGATCGTCCTGAATATCTTCTTGTTTCTTTGATGCTTGCAAGAGCGCAATCAATCCCTTCCAAGCAACCTAAGATATTGATATGAATATTCATCTACGTCGCCGCGTGTGTTGTAGTGTCCGCATCATCGTCTTGGAATTCACTTTTAAACAAAAACTTGACGATGGAAGCAAATCATGCAGAGTTGAAGGTCAATTATATATTAACCAAGCTCTCCCTCTTACGGATTGGGATCGTCTTTTCAGTTAATCTGTGAAATCACTGAACAGCCATCTATGAAATGCAAAATTGATACCAAAATCTGGTGAGCAATGGCCAGAACAAATAATTGGGTTCCCCTAAAGCTCGATACATTACATTAACCAGAAAGGCGGGAATTCAGGATGGAGGGACTTCCCAGGAAAATGGGGTTCAATTCTACCATTTTCGAAGTTGAAAATTTCTCTGTCTAGACCCCCTCCATCTCGGTCACCCCAGAATTTATTATGATCATCATCCCTAAAGTAGATGCAATCGGGTTTCAAGGATCCATTAAACTTGTATGCAGGCGAAGACGAAGATAGATTTCTACCCGGTCTCCCAAACTGCTCGCCTCAGTGCATTTGTAAGGATATTCATTGTTGTCATCAATATTTTCTTCCAGGTGATCATGACAACCAAGCCTGTCCTCCAGTTTCAGAACAGAAAAACCAATTGTGTAATAATTCAGCACTTCTCCATCTTCAGTTTCGAGTAAGAGAAACTAACTAGTAAAAGATCTCCTGATGACTCACCAAGCACTAACAAACAAACTCCCGGAGTAAAATAATTATTTAAAAAGCAGAGCTAAGCATTTGTATATGAACAATTACTCCAGGAGACAAAGCCCACCTTTAATTGTAAGAGAGAGTGGGCGGGGTGAATTCAGAGAGAAAGGGCACGGGTGTAGGGTTAGATGATTAAGGAAGGGATTATATAAGGACGGGAGGAGGACAGGAAAGGGAGGAAAGGAAGCTAATACAAGAAGGAAACGATCATAAGAAAGGAAGTTCGTTCTGATTATTGGAATGCAGGTGTTTCCAAAACTTTTGGAATAACATTAATAATGTGAATTAGGGTCTCAGAAAAAGTTTATAGAGGAATTACGTATTTGGAAAAAAAAAAGGCAAAATGAAATATCTCACTATTGCAATGAAAAGGGAAATGACTATTTGCCTGTTAAATGAAGGAGTAATGCGTCCTACAAAAAATTAGTGTAAATTTTTTACCCCAAATTCTGGGTCTCGTCTATAAGTGAAAGAGATTATATATATATATATATATATATATATATATATATCGTGCATATAGTCTTTTTATTTTTGTTTTACATAAAAATTATGTAGTTATATTGATTCAGAGATAACGTGAGAAAAAGATTTTTTTTGGAGAGAGCGTTTGTGGAATTAACGCTTTACCTTATATGATCATATTTCACGGATTTAGATATTTTACTTGCACGATTTTGATATCGGCATATTAATTACATTAAGATAGTTTAATTTCAATTACTAATGGTTTAACGAGGCTTTCACATTAGATCATATGTAACGACATGTAGGTTTTAAATTTTTTTTTCTAAGAATAAGAATTGCCATGATTCACTTATGTGCTATAAAATACAATTAAAATTAGAATAAAAGGTTATGGATGGCTCTAAGCTTTGCCTTGTACAATCAAGTCTCCCTAGTTCTGCATTACAAATAAGTAGGGGCGGACATGCATTGGCGTGGCCCTACAACCTTTGTAATTCAATCAAAAGTGAGGTGTAACTACACCTTGAGAGCTTCGTTCATTCTTTCTAGTGTGACTTCTCATGCAAGTCTTATCGGTACTTTACTTGGGTAATATACACTTTTTAGCTAGCAAACCAACGAATCCTTCCTCCTGGCTCTATTTTCTGACTTCCTCATGCAAGTCTTAGCTGCATTGGTAACACACACTTTTACCTAGCTATATACACTTTTAGCTAGTATCCTAGCAGCAATAAAGAGATATTTTATTGTCTAGTACCAAGAAGGAAGTCTTCTCAACCCATTTTCCTTGGTATCTGTCTTCCTTTTTTGGTTTCCCTTCTAGCTAAACTTCTCACCCTCCCTCTTGACTTGAGTCTTTAAACTGGATGTTTGGTGGAGATTAACCGCATAATGGTGTTGATGTTTTCGTTGCTATTTTTTTCCAGTGATGTAGACACTTTTGATATTTTGAGAATCAAAATACATATCTTTCACTATAAAACCGAAACCCTTTTCCAGTCCATTGGCAAAGCAAAACGCGAGAAGAGAAGACAGAGAAAAAAAGAGAGAAACATCGATGACTTTTTATTTTAATATTAGCCACGATTAATTAGTTATAAGAGTCGAGTATTAGAAAAGTAATTGGATGGCTGAAGGTGGGAAAAGCCAACGATTGTCTGTTCTCTTCAAAACAACCAAACAACAGGTAGCTTCTACATATTTATGAAATTTGGTAGCTTTTCCGAGAACCAAATTTTTTTATTTCATGACCATTGTTTTGGGGTCATCTCATCCACAGTGTAGAATCTGGGGTGGGGGACCCGACCAGTTATTAACATTCCTAATAACAGAAGAAACCGTCGTGCCTTCCTCAAGTTGGGTGGTGAGGTAATGCCACCGAATTAGAAGTTCTGTAGAAAGCCATCCTTCCTCTCAAATGCTGTATAAAAATCCTCCCTCTTTTTAGTTTTTACTGGAAATAAGTTACACGAAGTCTGATGTTATAATCCAATTAATCTTCACCCAAACTGGATGTTAATATCCTTCAACCATTTTTTCTTTTTCATTATACCTTAACAAATTAATTTAAGCTCTAATGGAAAGAGAGCGTAAAATGTTTCAGTTTAAGGGCTATGCTCCCTCTTGCTTTGCTTGCCTATTCAATGTGTTGAAACGCATTTTGGCTCTCTAACTACAATACAATGTCATGCTACTACCCGCTGCCTAGAGGGTCGACTTGGCCCGCTCTTGTGCCCATCTTCCTTCTCCAAGGTGTCAAAGCCCCCCATCCCCCCCCCCTCCAAAGGCATATGGCGCAGCGGTTGAGGGGTCGGCCTTGTGTTGCTGATTTCTACATTGATCAGGGTTCGATTCGTGCCCGCTGCGTCGCACATCCTGATTCGCCTGGGAAAGCTGTATGGGGCTGTCTGTTTCCCTCCGATTTGGTGTGCCGGTTCGGGTCCAAAGGGTTCGAATCGGGGCATGTTCCGGTTAAAAAAAAAAAAAAAAAAAGGTGTCAAAGCCAAATTTAATTAAATCAGACCTTCGCACCAGAAAACGGCTTGAAAATCTTGGAATTCCTTTTATTTTATTTGGTAAATGTATGGAATTATCAATCATAGCGTTCATTTGTAAATTCGACCTTTGACAGAATCTTTTTCAAGTAATAACCGACGGAATGAAAGTCAATTTGGTATTGAAAATCAATTCTCTGATCATAAAAAATTTGTAATTCTTAGACAATTCAAGATATTTCCCTCAAACGGAGCTAAATCCAGTCACATGTGATTTAATAATATTATCTAAATGACAATAATCACACAAACTTCATAAGTTTGACTCTCCCAAATTAGGGAAAATTCCACCCATCACTGGGACTTGATGAAATTCTTTTTAAAAGGAAAAGAAAGTGAAAACTTCTCAATCAAATGGTAGTTCATGAGTTCGATTTCACTTGAACGTAAATTCAATTTTGATACATAAGATGCCCCTCAAACGCCACAGAAACTATAAAATCCTTTATAAGGGAGCTATTCGAGCCCCCATGATGAAAGATTAATTCATGAAATTTTCTATCAAATAATAATTCCATTGAATTAAGAAATGGGTTCCAACCAAATTACCCATCATATATTCAAAATGGTTTTAATCTAAATTATTTCCCCATGAAATCTATAAAAAAGCAAAACTACAAAGTACTAGTACATTTCCCGTTAAATAAGCACTTTGCCCTCTATTTGATATTTTAAAACAAAATTGCCCTTATTATTTTATTTTGTTTATTCATTCCCTTGTTTTTCCTTTTCCACTACTTTCTTTTATTTTTTTTAATTTTACTTCTTTTACTATTTTCTTTTTTTTTTCACTTCTCTTATGCCGCTATTTTGTTTCACTTTCCCATTAGTATAACTCATTTGCGAGAAAGTGACAAGGGTTTATTTTACGTATTTTTAGTGTGTTTTATTAGTTAATTTTGGTTTGATTATTTAGTTTTATAACTAAAATAACTAAGGTTTTGGTAAAAAACTACATTTTATGTTAAAATGGCTAATATTGCATTTCTATTGATTTTAATAGTAAAAACTTCATTTTTATGCAGGAATGATGATTCAACCACCAAAGGATGTCAAGTGAAGTGAAAAATAGAGATTTGGTGATGAATTCAAAGTGGTAAAAAGAAAAATGAAGTGAAAAACGTTTAAGAAAGGAAATGCAAGTCAAAACAGTTTTGACACTCTTCAGTATTTCGACTATATATGGAGCTACACTGATCGGATTGAGGTGATCTTTATACCAATTTAAAGCTAAGAAAGAGATCTACATTTGGTATGAAGACGTCAAAGTCCAATTCAGCCGTTTTCATAGTCCAAAAGTTGAAATACCGAAATTCAACTCAGCTGTCCAAAGTGGAAAACAGAGCTCCGACCAGTCTATAGTATTTTGATCATATTTCAGTCTACAAAGCTCCGATTTGGATGATTCTTGAAGCATTGGAAAGCTAACTCAAAGGGCTACAACTTTGGTGTTTTGCACAAAATCCAGTTCAGCCTTTATGATAGAGAAAATCGCAGTTGAAGTAAGGAAAAAGTGAATACACGAGTACACAAAACGTGACTTGTAACCGCGTTTTGTGTAGGCGCGTTTTCTGGCCGCAATTCTGCAATTTGCTCAGTCAATTCTCTTATGTTCAAACTACTTTCCAGCTACAATCTGCAAGAGAATTCGGTGCACATGCTTCAGAAGACAAAAGGGCAGA